ATGTGCCTCTGTGGCCGCCTGTCGATGTTCCGTGTTGGTATCGCCCAGTATCTGTGACCATCTCTCTGACCCTTTCCTGTAACTGCCCCGATTGCCCTCCTCCGAGCGCCCCCCAGCCCGACCGTGGGATGGATTCCGTGATTGGGGAGCTCCGCGCTCACAGCGGCCTTTATCCGTGCTGCCCACAGCGGCCGTGTCCGCACCGCTATGCCTGCCCTCCTCCCACTCGGCCTGTTCCCTGCGGTGACGGTCCTGTTCCATCATTGACTCGGTTTGTGATTCTCATCAGTTCATGTCCCACTGGCTCCCCCAGTTGTGTCCGTCTCCCTTTGAAAGTGATTCCAAACAGGCGTGGGTTGTATACAGTCCAGCTCCTCATCTTCCCGGGGACGTTTCTCCCAGTTTCCCATCTGCTCAGTCTGCACTGGCCGCTGTGGGCCGCTGCCCGGCTGTGGCCCCCAAGCCCCGGAGTTACCAGCCAGAGCCCCTCTCCTCCTGGGGGACCCCCCTCTCCTCCTGGGGGATCCCCCCTCCTGTGGGGACCCCTTCCCTCGCCTCCTGCGGGACCCTTCGGCCCTGCCTTCCCTGTCTTCCCTACGCCAGGGCCAGGGGGCACCCAGGGTTAGCCCAGGGGCAGCGAGGGCAGCGGGCAGCGTTTGACACGTTGCTTCTCGCTGCGGGATGGATGGTCCGGCCGGCGTGGAGCTCTGGGTGGAAGTGATTGGGTTTCCCGTCCTGTGAGGGCCGCTGCGTCTGCTTTCGGCTCTGGGCCGTGCCCTCCGGAGAAGCAGTTCTGTGTTGACCTGAGCTTGTATCGGGGCTTTTCTTGGCGGCGATGATGTTTTGCTGTTTGTTTGTGTTTAATCCTGTTTGGAACCTCCAGTCTCTGAAATGTCACAGCTCCCTTGCTGTGCGACTATTTTTGTAGCTAAATGTGCTAGACCAGTGGTCGGCAAACTCATTAGCCAACAGAGCCAAATATCAACACCACTTCTTCAAAATAGACTCGCCCGGGCCGAAAACCGACTTCTGCGCATGGGCCACGAAGTTTTAGTCACACTGTACACGCGCCCACACGTGGTATTTTGTGGAAGAGCCACACTCAAGGTGCCAAAGAGCCGCATGTGGCTCTCGACCCGCAGTTTGCCGCCCACGGTGCTAGACCCTTTCAGCTTGAAAGCTCAGATCCCTAAGTTCTGTGACGCTCGCCTGCGTTTTTCTCTCCTCGCAGTTGGCTGCCCTGGAGTGAGCCTCCGGTTTTTGTCACTTTCCATCTCTTTGCCCCTTGGTCCTGTTTTCTGGGAGATGTTCTTAAATGTACCTTCCTAGTCTTTTATTGAGTCTTAAAATTCTGTCTACTTGCTTTCCGCTCCATCTCAAGAGCGGTCTGTGTTGTAGCTGTTACTCTTCTTGTCATGAGGGTGGTATCTCCTTTTAACTAGGCTCTGCCACACCAGTAACGCCCTACGTAGGTTCCCACCTGCAGGCCGTGGTCCCGGCTGCTGTTCTGTTGGGCCCTCGACTGGCCTCTTCCTCCGGTGCCCGGCCGTCCCGTCTGCCTCCTCGCGTCCGACAGCAGCGTGGAGGGGATTCCGTGCTGGCTGTGTGCGGGGGGCCGTGCCTGCAGGCTCTCCCCGCGGCGTTGGGCTGTTCCTTGGAGAGCCCATGGCAGCTTTAGGTTTTCTCTCGGCTGGTCAGGGGCTTCCACGGTGACACTCTGCGGCCGCCCGTGGGGGTGTGAGCCCAACCCTCTGCGGGGGGACCCGGGGGAGCGGGACCCGCTCTCAGTGTCACTGCGCTGCAGTGTATTAGCTCCTCTTCCCGCACATGGCGGGGGGTGGAGGGGGGGGGGCCCAGAATGTGTGCCCGGCGACCGCAGTGCAGTGCGGTGCCTGCCCGCCCAGGGAGAGGGGACGGCCTCCACTAGGGCCAGGCAGCTGGACGGGGTGGGGAAGGGAGGGAGGGGCTCGGACCCCAAGTCGTCCTCTCGGGCTCTGAACCGATCCTCCTGGGTTTCGCCCCAGCTTCACCCCCTTTGGAAGGGACCTCGGCTGCCGCCGCCTCGGAGCTTCTCGGGGCCTGTGGGCGCTGCCTGCCTCCCTCCACCACGATGAGGATGATCTCCCAGAGTCTCATGCGGCGGGACTGAGCCGCAGCGGAAGCTTGTGTGTAACATGGAGATCACCCCACCCCAGGACGCCACTTCCTAGAGCTGACGCCGCGCGCTCAGGCTTGCCCAGGCCTCACCAGGCAGGAGGGCAGTGATGGCGAACCTATGACACGCGTGTCAGAGGTGACACGTGAACTCATTGTTTTGGTTGATTTTTCCTTGTTAAATGGCATTTAAATATATAAAATAAATATCAAAAATATAAATCTGTTTTACTATGGTTGCAAATATCAAAAAATTTCTCTATGTGACACGGAACCAGAGTTAAGTTAGGGTTTTTCAAAATGCTGACACGCCGAGCTCAGAAGGTTCGCCATCACGGTCTAAGCCCTGATGCCCGTGTGAGTCCCGGGAATAAGATAAAGCCACAGGGAAGGCGTTTACAGCACAAGTTGGATCCATGTGCCCTTTTGCGAGCCGTGTCGGAGCTGATAGGATGAGTCGGGGCCTCAGAGGACCCCGAGGAGAGCTGCGGGTCTGCGTTGGCCTTCGCTCTGCGCTTGGCCTTGGGGGCAGGTGCGTCTCTCATGCGCCTCACCTGACCCCTCAGGTTGCCGCAGCCGGGGAGCGAGGAGCAGGCTGGCCGGCAGCTGCCCGCGCAGCACAGCGGTGGCTCCGGCCCCAGCTGCCCGCTCTGCCTCTCCTCGCCGCTGGGGACAGGCTCTGCCGTGGGGATCCGTCTGGCACGTGCGTGGATGTGCGAGGCAAGTTGGGTTGTCGTCTAGGCGGGCTCCAGACTGCGGGCTCTGGGCTCTGGGCGCAGCCTGGCACACTTTTGTCCTTGTCAGCCCTGTCAGCAGGTAGAGCCCCGGGACTTGAGGACGCACCTTGTGGCGCGAGGAAGGGACTGGGTCAGGGACGGCACACGCGATGGGCATGGGGCCCCAGGCCTGGCGGGAAAGTCATCACAACTATCCCGAGTTGTGTTTTATGCGCCCGAGGCTGTTGTCGGTGCTTTCCCAGATGACAGGCGTTATCTCCTGTGATCCCGGGCCAGCCAGGGAGGCCAGAGATGCCGGGAAAGGCCGGCCATAGAGGGTGTCTGCCTAGATAAGGAGCCGGCCTTACCCGGACAGCCCTGCCGGCCGCGGGCAGACCCTCCGTCACGGGAGGGCCTGGACGGGCAGTGGGAAGGTCATGTTGGCATTTGGGAGGTGGTTGGAGTCAGATGAGACCCTCCGAGGCCACGGGTAGCAGACAGTGTCCCCCCAGAGGCAGTGGCTGAGCGGAGGCCCTCGGTGGAGGGGGGCGGGAGGGGGCAGGAGGCGGGGAGGGGCCGAGGCCGGCCAGCAGCGTTACAGGAGTTGGGGGCTGATGGACATGCAGACCGAGCACCGTTTCTTCGGAGCCTGGAGTTGAAGTGAGAGGATGCTCTGCTGTCTCCCCGAACAGGCAGTAGGGTTTCCATGGAGAGACCAGAGGAGCCAGTTTAGTTTGATACGAGGCTCCCCGCCCAGCGCCCAAGGCACCAAGAGCAAGGAACCTGCCAGGGGACCCTCCCGGGGGTCAGGTGACACCTACACCTCCTCAAGGTCTGCCTGGGCCCCGCTCTTAAAGGGCCTCGTTCCGGACTCTCAGTGCGCGGAGCGTGGAAAGGCCTGGTTAAGGAATATGAAACGTGGTGACATTTAATGCCCTGCTTTCTGCTTAGGGGCGCTCTGTTCAGATAGTGAACATGAAAGAGGTTTAATAAGAAATGTGTGAATGTCTCGTCCGCCCTCACCTCCATTCGTCTCCCTTCGCCCTTTGGAAAAGCACAGTGCGCGGGGCTGAGACGGAGCAGTGGGGCCTGGTCCGTGTGCTCGTGAACATGCGGGTGAAGCGTGGCTCCCATTACCGTCGGCCATGCCCGGGGGGCTTCCTGCCGTTTTATTGGGTGATTCTGTCCTTATAAAAGTTGGTGTTTAAATACTAGATGTTCCACTCGGGCACGATGAGAGCAGAATTACGTCTCAAAAACAAAGGCAGTGACTTCCTACTTAGCTTCCTTTCTGAGCTTCTTACTTAAAAAGAAAACACACAAAAACTCAAACTCACCCCCGGGGCCTAGTTCCAGGGTGAGAGGCCCGGACAGTCTGGGCCGCCAGGAATAGATGAGGGTCTTGGGTTCGAGTCTCTTGAACTCTAAGACCAGGACGTGAGTGCCTCTGGCCGGGATGGCCACGGGCAGGCTGGGGTCACGTGGGCCCTGGTGGCTCAGCTCCGTGCTCTCCCCTTCAGCCTCAGAGGCTGCCCCTCTGCGGACCCCGGCCCTGTCCCTGTCCCCGCCGCAAGGGGTGCTCTTTGGGGGAATACATACATCGTGCACCTGTGCATACACACATACATCATCATGCACGCACACACGCATCTCACACACAGCGTGCCTGCACCCACAGCAGACATATATGCACATGGATCGTGTGTCTTCATCGTCTGTAAGCAGAACAGGCGCAGCCGCTGTTGGACCTGGAGACGCTGGGGGTCAGAGGCCAGGCGGGGCCCGGCGTCTCCCCGGCCAGATGTCCTCGAGGGCAGGTGCAGGGTGCGGTCCTGGGGGAGCCTGGGGGCGGTGCCCCGCCCCTCGGCACACCGACTGCTCGGGAGGGAGCGGGACGGCGCGTCTGCGTGGCTCCGGGGGTAGAAACGGGTCTGTGGTCGGGGTGCTGTCCTCTGGGTCTCCACCCTGGAGTCCCCGCTCCTCATCAGTAGCAGGTCATCGAATGGCTCCTTGGAGCCACTTGCTGCTGCGGGGCCCTGTCCGCGCCCCCTAACGAGCTGCCGCTTCCTCCGCAGTGTTTCCGAGCGCTGTGCTGCAAGGGACCCCCGCCCGCGCGCCCCGAGTATGACCTCGTCTGCATAGGCCTCACGGGCTCCGGCAAGACCAGCCTGCTGTCCCGGCTCTGCAGCGAGAGCCCCGAGCACGTCGTGTCCACCACCGGTGAGTGCCGCCCCCCCGCCCCCCGCCCCCCGACGGCGGCCCTGTGGGGGGCCTTCGGGTTCCTTTCTCTGGGGTACTGT